GGCACTGACCTTTTCCCTTAGATTGTCAAATAAAAAAGTGACATCATCAACACAAGAACCATACAATGTGAATGTATCAAAATTATACCTATTTTTTGGTCAGATGGGCAAAAAATATATTTTTGGCGTGCCGCAGGATTTTAGTAATTTGTGTGTGCCATCGGATAAAGAAGACGGAAAATCACTGGTCTAAAGAAAATAATTAAAGGCATGGTGCAGAAAGAACTGAAGATGAAAGAAGGAATTAAATTCACTAACTTGATGATAATGCCAGAGAGGAAAGCAAAATGAAGTCGGCTCTGTATTGATAACAGGGATTGAAAAAACAAGAAATAATTTCAAAAAAAATCATCCAAAATATTAAAATGCCTTTATATTTGCCTTAGATGCTGACTCGAGACTAAACTAACTAACACGGCAAAGAAGATGGCTTCCGTGGGCGTCACATTCCTTCTCTTCAAAGTGGAAGCTCTGGGTGAGATTCGGGATGTCAAATGCAATCTCCCTCCGGCCTTGCTCTCCAGCGCCCATGGCAAGCACGGCTCAGGGGGCTTCCTGGATGAGACCAAACTGAGCCTGGTGACCCTTCTCTACACAGCGAGGCGGCCACTGCCCATCAAACCCTTTGTTGCTCAAATTGGAACCAATTTGCTCTTCTCAGTTTGTTTTTCCTTTTTTCTCTTTCTCTCTTCTCAGTTTTGATATTACATTGTATGCCTTCCAGAATAGAGTTCTATAGTCATATAAGAGCAGTCGTCAATTAATATAATTTTGAAATATTTTATTTGGAAATGTCTTACCTTTTAAAAAATATATACTGTTATTGATTCCAGAGAGGAGGGGCGAGGGAGAGAGAAATAGAAACATCAGTGATGAGAGAGAATCACTGATTGACTGCCTCCTTCACGTCTCCTACTGGGGATCGAGCCCACAACTCGGGCATGTGCCCTGACCGGGAATCAAACAGTGACCTCTGGTTCATAGGTCGATGCTCAACCACTAAGCTATGCTGGACAGACTAAATCATGTGATTTCTAATAAAATTACAGGAGAGCCTGGCCAATGGTTGAGTGTTGGTTCATGCACCAGAGGTCACCAGTTCAATTCCCTGGGTTGCAGGCTTAATCCTCAGTAGGTGGCTGTAGGAGGCAGCAGACTGATGGTTCTATCACTCTCTCCCTCTCCCTTTCTCTCTCTGAAATCAATTAAAAAAAAAACATCAAAATACACAAATTATGAAAAAGAAATACAGAGAGGAAGACAGCCCACCCCAGCTCCAGAGCACATCAGAACTTCCTGTTGTTGTCTGTGGCTTTTCGCCCACAAAAATGCTGTGTCTGAGTTTCTGTGGCCCCTCCACCCCACTTGACCATAACTGCTCTTTAACAAATTTTTGTAGAAAGTTAGAGAACTTATTCACCAGGGCTCAGGGGACTAAGGGAGGTGAGTAGGAAAGCTCTGAGTCTAGCAAAGGTCGGCACTTTGGGGGTTGAGAGGAAGATTGGGGTATAGACAGCCGCCAGATGTCACACAACACATTCAACTCCTGGAAAACCCCAGGGGGAGAAATTTCAAAGAGGAAGGATTGGTCAACCAGGAGACTGAGAGGAGCTGGGAGAACCCACGGCATTGAAAGCTTATTATTGATTGAGCACCTACTGTGTGCCAGGGACTGTGTGGGCTATTGAGAGGAACAAAGACTCCAATAGGGGGAGGGAGGCAGCCTCAGGAGAGTGGAAAGGGCCTCCCGCACAGAGGGAACAGCATGGGCAAAGGCCCTGAGATGGGAGAGACTTGGCAGGCAGCTGAAGAATGTTATCCAGGAGGGGGATCTGCAGGGACCTATGACACAGGCAGAGCCTTCCAGGCCAGGGTTGGGCTTCAATCACATTGAGAACATGGGAGATTTTCAGGCCGGGGGTTATTTCATTTTTAACAATGAAAGCATTTAGAGCTTGGCTTCTGGACTGAAATAGCTTAAAAGAGGCAAGACTGGGAGGTGAGCCAGGAGGTGACCTCAAGGGATTGGTGGGCCACAAAGCTCCTGGTGGCTTTAGCACCGGGGGACAGTTTTTTCTGTGAGAAGAATTAAGTGGGAGGGCATGAGCAGAGGTCAGTGGTTTGATACAAGGTCACTTGGGAAATTCAGGGACAGGGTTTGAAAGAACAAGAATGATGACTGATGCCCAGCTGGTGTGGCTCAGAAGTTGACTCATGAACCAACCTGTTCGATTCCCAGTTAAGGCACATGCCCAGGTTGCAGGCTCCATCCCCAGTAGGGGGCGTGCAGGAGGCAGCTGATCAAAGTTTCCTTCTCATTGATGCTTCTGTCTCTCCCTTCCTCTCTCTCTAAAAAATCCATAAATCTTTAAAAGAGCCCAGCTTTTGTGGTGTGGCTCAGTGGTTGAGCATCGACCTATGAACCAGGAGGTCACGGTTCGATTCCCGGTTAAGGCACATGCCTGGGTTGTGGGCTCGATCCCCAGTAGGAGGTGTACAGGAGGCAGCTGATCAATAATTCTCTCTCATCATGGATGTTTCTACCTCTTTCTCCCTCTCCCTTCCTCTCTGAAATCAATACAAATATGTTAAAAAAATCCATAGAAACATAAAGAAAAAAAATAATGGTGCCTGGGACGTGAGGTGAGGACATACCCAAGGGTGAATGAAGGCTGGTCAGGACCTGCAGTGGGCAGCCCTTGGAGCCGGGGAATTCAGGCCAGAGGTGGGCCTTATAGCGTGAAGGCATGTCAGAGGGTCCCCTGGAAGTGAAGGATAGGATGTGAGCACGGGTGGGGCTCTGCCAAAAGGAACTCTAAG